TAAAAAATAATAAATTAAAGACATTCACAAAAGAGACTGCCAAAGATATTTTAAGAAGTATTCTAAAATAATTGGATTAAATGATGTGTAAAAAAATTGTTATTGTTTTTAATATTCAATAAAAAATGTATGGCTGTAAATGAATGATCGGCGCCTATACTATGCATTTTTCAAAAACTTATTCGGTTTGTCATAGACAGATGAATCGACACTCAGTAATGACAAAATTAATACTTTTTTGATTAGATGATATATCTCCCAGTGAATTAATTTTAAAATATGACTTCGTTCCCTGTTTATTTCAAAAGAAGAAGTAAAACAACTCTATTATTGAAAGTGAGATAAAAACTGGAAGTCAAGAAATGAAAATTGTAGTTTCATTTATTTGTAACTTCAACCTTGACTTCAACTTAACTGAAAATTCGTCACCGAAAATATGGCATGACATATCAAATATTCGGTACAAGCTTTTTGGCAAGATATACTTTTGTAAATACTGTGATCAACTTCTTTATCATTTGATTCAAAACATCTGCTGTGCGTATGTGTTTCATAAGACACAATTAATTCCAAACAGACATAAGCATCACACACCAGCCCGACAATTGTGAAAAGCATAGAAATTGACATATATTCATTGCTTAATTGAGAAAAATGCTATCAATATGAAATTGGCAATATCAAATTCATTTCAACACTTCATTGGTGACAGTAGGGTATCCTCCAATTTGGTGGCTCCAAATAGATCATTAACCAATCAAATCTATGCACATTTCTGAAGCCAATTTTAGGAGTTGTCGGGCTGGTGAAAGGTGTTCAACTTGAAAATACAACGTTTTCCAAGCTATAAATTCAAATTTTATTTTTTATACGTTTATGTGCGTTTACTTTACTGGCTAGCACATTACTCTAAGTAAGTCTTAGTGTCAATAGCAATTAATGAATCACTGAAAAAAAGGTCCCCATGTCCAAAATTGTTGAGGGTTCCTAAAAATACTTTAGAGGGAGGTAATCCGAACCCTAGGAACTCTCGTCATCATCTATGTTACAAGATACTGATATTTTATGATGGGTTCCTCTAATCGAACTAAACCTTCTAACAATTCAAATATTTTTTTCCATGGGGACATAACATAGACTTTTTTTTCGTTTAAAATTCGATTTTTATTTTACTTCCAACTGTTTAACGTCAGTCAATATCATATTCTGATTGACGTGTTATGCATTAATTAGAATTAATGAATTTCCGAGCTACTTCAGAGCAAAAAATATATATTCATAAAATTTATTGAATTTTGGAACTTATTTTTTTTTAACTACATTTCAGTACAAGTGCGTAGATCGTTTTACAAAATTGTGTATATAAAGAGGCTTGTGATCATCAAATTCCTGTATGTGAAATATTATTGTGACGAGAGAAAATGAGGCTGTTTTTATTTTTATCAGTTTTGTCGATTTCAATACTTTTTGAGGTATAATTATTATTGCAAATGAATTTTGAGTAAATATAACTTTTTTCATCTTTCCCAAATTTTAAAGGTGGTCAATGGTGCAGATGAGTTGACATTTTCTTCGTTGGTGGACAAAGTTTGTGCCAAAGCCGATGAAAAAGCGATCAATTTAAAACCGAAGCTGAGTTTTGTGCGAAGCATTTCTATCAACACCGATAAAATACGAACTAGGCTCACGGCACTTGTCACCAAATTTGTGGACGAGAAAAGAATCAATGAAATATTAGATAAAGTACCAGCGAATACAACTGCAATGGATGTAAATAACGCGCAAAGATTTTTACGCACGGAATTTAACAGATTTAAAAAGAAGCAAAGTGAAAAAGTTGATATTATCGATAGAATTTGGAGTGAAGTGACAATCAAACCTCCAAAAAGAGATTGGATGTTTTCCTGTTGGTTTAGGGAATGGCTTCAAGATCCAACTGACGAGATGCATATGAATCGAGTCAAAAACAATACGAAATTTATGTCATCCGAATATGAAAACCTCTTTAAAAAATTCAACAATGAGCTGATCGAAGCAGAGAAAATAAAATCAAACATTGATACATTTATAGGTTTGGCCAAGACATCATTTGATAAACTGTTCAAATCAGCGAAACCAGAAGAAGTTATCAATGATGTAAAACCTCTTATGAACCGAATATACAATAATGAAAGGGAATTAATTAAAAAGCTCGAAGCGATCGAATGCGCTGTGAAAGAATATAATGCACGCCGAATGATTTGGGTAGATTTTTTAGTAGATTTGAGAGCAACGCTCACTTCACCACGTAGATCGGGATTATTTGTTGTGACTTCATTATTGGGCGATCTTTGTAAGGGAAGTAAAAACAAAAAGCTTGAATAAAAATTTCAAATAGTAAAAAAAAAATTTTCATTTAAGTCTTGGTTTGCTAAAAAAGTGGTTGACGTAAGAATACAGTTTTTTTCTTAAAGTCAATGTAATTATTAATTCAGAATGTAATTACATACGTGTACGAATTAATTCAGCAGGCGTGAAAAAATCTTGTATATGTAAAAAGCATTCAGTCAATCAATGTATATTCGCTAGAGTAGTCGCACTGCAGTGTCGATTAAGAATAAAATGAAGCTTATTTTATTTTTGACCACATCGTGGCTGTTCTCAATCGTCTACTGTGGCCGTCCGGTATGATATTTTTAATGTCAAATTCGAATACTTTATCAATGCTTATTTCTTTTTTAAGAATAAATTCTATACTGAAGAAGACTTGGAAGATGGTCTGACGTTCGCGTTAGTGGTTAAGTGTTTTTATGCGAAATTGTCGAAAAAGGGTTTCAAAATGGAACCTAATCGATTGAACTTCTTACTAAAAATTGTGACCAATATCGATGACATTAAAAAACAAGCCGACGCACCATTGAAAACATTTCTAGACAGTGCACAAATTAGCAAGCTTACGAACAAAATACCACAGAGTATGGTAATTGATGGATCAAGCGCACGTACGTATTTGCGTGAAAAAATTGAGTCAATCGACAAAGGTGAAACAATAAATATGGCCATAGAAAACTACGATATATCGGCCAGAATAATGAAATCACCACATCAAACCGACGACATTTTTAGTATTTCATTTAT